AGGAGCTGCTGCCAACTGAGGAGCAGCTGCTACCGCAACCACCCAAGGAGCAACCACAGCCCAAGGAGCCACTGCCACCCAGGGAGCAGCCACTGAACGACTCAACAACTAGATATGTCAGTGAGATCAAACATGGGTAGGCAAAGAAACCCCCAAAGGAAAGAAAAGGAGGACTCGCCAGAAAAGCAGCTAAGTGAGACAGAGGCATGCAACTTGACGGAAAAAGAATTCAGAATAAGGGTCCTAGAGTACATGCACCGGTCGGAGGAAAAAATCAATGCCATATGCAAGAAGCTAGAAGAATCAGATGAAAAATTCAATACCATATGCAAGAAGCTGGAAGAAACAGATGAAAAAATCAACAGCTTATGCAAGAAGCAAGAAGAAACAGATGAAAAAATCAATAACTTATGTAAGACCCAACAAGAAATGAAGAGCGATATAGCTGCAATAAAAAACACCATTGAAAGCATCAACAGTAGACTAGGAGAAGCGGAGGACCGAATTAGTGAATTAGAAGACAAGGAAGCAAAACACACCCAAACTGTACTGCAATTGGAGAAAAAAATTAAAAGACAGGAGGAGAGCCTAAGGGAGCTTTGGGACAACATGAAACGAAACAACATACGAATAATAGGGGTGCCAGAACAACAGAAAGATGAACATGGATTAGAAAACCTATTCGAAGAAATAATATCAGAAAACTTCCCTGAGGTGGGGAAGAAAAAAGTCACACAAGCCCAGAGAGTCCCAAACAAGGTGAATCCGAAAAGACCCACACCAAGACACATCATAATTACCATGGCAAATGTTCAGGACAAAGAGAGAATCTTACAGGCTGCAAGAGAGAGACGGAAAGTTACATACAAGGGATCTCCCATTAGATTATCAAATGATTTCTCAACAGAAACACATCAGGCCAGAAAAGAATGGACGGAAATTTACAAAGTGATGCAAAGCAAAGGACTGAACCCAAGAATACTCTATCCAGCAAGGCTATCATTCAAAATTGAAGGGGAAATAAGAAGCTTCACAGACAGAGTCCCTGCCCAGCAGCACCCACCACAGCCACTGGTCCCCTCTCTGCCAGCAGCCCTGCTCCTGCTGCTGCCGCTCCCACACACTGACAGCACTGGCCGGCTCACACCTGCTGATGGCGCGGAGCAATTGGGGCCAGTGCCAGCAGTCGGTGTGAGAGGTGGCTGCTGCTCTGATTGCCCTTCAGGAGCAGGGAGAGGTGGAGAAGCCCTCAGGGGCGATTGGGGCCAGCAGCTGCCACTCACACCCGCTGATGGTGCCGAGAGATCGAGACTGGTGCCGGGTGCCGGGCAGTGGGTGCGAGCGGCAGCTCCGGTGCTGGCTGTGGGTGCGAGAGGCAGCTGTTGGCCCTGATCACCCCTCAGGAGTAGGGGGAGGTTGAGAAGCCCTGAGGGGCGATTGGGGCTAGCAGCCACCACTCGCACCCGCTTACAGTGCTGAGCAAACAGTGCCGGCGCTGGGTGCCAGCAGTGGGTGCAAGCAGCAGCTCTGGTGCTGGCAGCGGGTGCGAGCGGGGCCGGCACCGGCAGCAGGTGCAAGCTCAGGGCAGGACCATGGTGCGCGGGAGCAAGGAATTTTCAGTAACCACCAGAGATTCACCCTGATGACAGTGGCCAGTGCCCCGCCTTGGTCTGGTGCTCCCACTCACCTGATCCACCATCCTGCTGTGGCCGACACCTGCCATGTTCCACGCTCTGCCACCTGCTGCCGATAATCACCATGTTTCGCATGCACCCCCTGGTGGTCAGCGCACGTCATAGTGACTGATTGTTTGGTTTAGTTGTTCTGCTTTTTGGTCTGTTTGCATATTAGGGTTTTATATACATAGACTAGAGGCCCAGTGCATGAAATTCGTGAGTGGGTATGGTCCCTAGGCCTGGCCTGTGATCAGGGCCATCTTCCCTGGCTGCCTGCAGCCAGCCCTGCCCCCCACTGCCACCCACCCCTAGTTCCCCATTCACCATTGGGTAATTGGAGCCTGCTGGCTGGGGAGAGGAACCGAAAGGTCAGCCATTCCCACCCACTTGCCGGCCCTGCCCCTGCTGTGGGTAGCCCTCTGTGTGTGGGGTGACTGGTGGGGCAGGAGGCTTCACCTGGTGCCACCTGCTTTCCCCGCCACCCACCCCTGGTTCTTCGTTTGCCATCGGGCGATCAGAGCCTGCCGGCCAGGGAAAGGAACTAAGAGGTGGTCAGTGCGCCTCATAGTGACTGTTCAAGCAGTCTTTCTGGTCATTCTGCCATTAGGGTCAATTTGTATATTATCCTTTTATTATATAGAATAGAGGCCCAGTGCACCAGTGGGAGCTGTCCTGCCTGCCCTGATGGGG